GGGTGCTGGTCAACAGCCGGCTGAACATGTGTTGGCAGTGTGTCCAGGTGGCCAAGGCGGCCAACGGCATCCTGGCCTGTATCAGAAATAGTGTGGCCAGCAGGAGTAGGGAGGTGATCGTGCCCCTGTACTCAGCCCTGGTGAGGCCGCACCTTGAATACTGTGTTCAGTTTTGGGCCCCTCACTACAAGAAGGACATTGAGGTGCTGGAGCGTGTCCAGAGAAGGGCAATGAAGCTGGTGAAGGGTCTGGAGAACAAGTCTTTTGAAGAACGGCTGAGGATTGTTTAGTCTGGAGGAGACTGAGGGGAGACCTCACTGCGCTCTACAACTACCTGAAAGGAGGTTGTAGCGAGGTGAATGTCGGTCTCTTCTCCCAAGTAACAAGCGATAGGATGAGAGGAAATGGCCTCAAGTTGCACCAGGGGAGGTTTAGATTGATATTAGGAAAAATTTCTTCACCAAAAGGGTTGTCAAGCATTGGAACAGGCTGCCCAGGGAAGTGGTTGAGTCACCATCCCTGGAGGTATTTAAAAGACATGTGGATGTGGTGCTCAGGGACATGGTGGTTTATTGGTGGACTTGGCAGTGTTAGGTTAACGGTTGGACTCAATGATCTTAAAGGTCCTTTCCAACCTAAATGATTCGATGATTCTATAACTCCTTATGCATAGAACGCAGTTCAGTAAAGCATTTATATTATATGTTTCATTTTGAACATCTTTAAGTCTCACCATTTCCAAGTAACACATACGCACATGGTTAAAATGTACTCAGTTTATTTGCTTAACCATAGCTTTTATCTTTAAAAGATTTTATGCCACTATAAAACAGAATATGTATGTTAATGTGGCCAGGCCTTATTATTACAGTACTATAAAACAGAAATCTTAATCCCTACTGTATTTTAAATTTGAAAAATTAGCCTTTATTTACCTATTCCCCCAAATACTTACTCTTCATCTTAGTGGTGCCAAAGACATATTCTGTTCCATAGTTTCTGATTCTTACGTACGTTCACAATTCTAAACTGTACAGTTGTTACATTAGTCTAGAGTTTTCCAGAATCATCTAGGAAAAAACCCTTACATATAGAACTTACGCTTTTAGTTCCTTAATATCCGGGTTACTTTCTGGTAAGACTCCTATTCCTCGACCGTAACAGGTGCCACCATGAAGATGAAATTCTATATGTGAGACACCTTCATCGTCAGCACTTGCTTGTTTCGTATGAATACTGTAAATTCTCAGAAAACTTCCAATCTTAAACAAAAAAAAAAAGATTTGATAACACAAAGTTAGCTATTTACTTGGAAAATTCTAGGCCTTGTAAAGCTCCTCCACTGTTTTCACTGAATCAACAAATAGCTGAAGTTGTCAGGGACCTCTGGAGATTGCCTAGTCCAACCCCCGTGCCCAAAGCAGAGTCAACTACAGCAGGTTTCTTAAGGCTGTCTCCAGCTGGGTTTTGAATATTTTCAAAGATGGAGACTCCAAAAGCTCTCTGGATGATCTGTTTCTTTTACTTTATCAGACAACATTACTGGCAGCAAAGGCTGATTCAGAATCAGCATAAGCCTTCTTACTAAATCTAATTGTCAAGCAGACTTCAGAAGACAGATCAAATGAGCCAATATATTCCTTTGCTGAGGGCACAATTTGTCTTCTATATTCACAACACAGCCCTCCAGAGATTGACATGCTGTGCTTTGTCCATGTATGATCGCACTCAGCAATTGACCTCATGTCCATCATCATGAATGGCATATTATCTGTTTATGTATTCACACAAACACATCTGCTTACCCAGATTTCTTTATCATATCTTATTCTTACATTACAGATAACATTTTTTCAGCACCAGGACAAAAGGCAACATGTGTTAGAAATTCAAAGATTTTGGCACTGTTCCTAACTCTGTTAGATATTCTCCTCAGGTATATGGAAAATACGCTTCTTGTTTTGCTTAGAATTATTTTGTGTTCTCTGACACAGTTTTGTCAAGTTACACAAATGGACTTTGGCTAACTTATACAAGTTCTTATTAAGAAAGAAGTTATGGAGTGCTGAACATCGAACACATCTTTATAACTTCGCTTTTATTTCAAAATACCACTCCCATTACCCCTCCTCCCCTCGCCCCTAAAAAACCCAAACCAAAACCAAGGTTCTAAAGGTAGATAATCTGGAGACTTAATTATACAGCTAATTTCCCTTTGGTGTGTTTTAAAGGCCTTTGAATCAAATTAACTAGCACCCGAATATTTTTTTAAAGTATAACCTAAGATCCAGTTGATAGCTGACAAGCTACACACATTCAATAACCTGGATTTATGTTCCCTCTAAGTATCTTTTAAATAGCCCCATATAAATGATAAATTATTTTAAATTTACTTCAATTAACATTAATACTAGAGCAGCCAGTCTGTTAAGTCTTATTTCTGCTTCAGTTCCCGCTTTAACCAGTAGAAACCTGGAAAATACTCCTATTAGACTGGATTGGTCAGGTCTTAGTACGACACTGATAAATGTATGTATACATGCACAAAAGCAGATAGAGCAGCATCTTGATTCTGGAATCCTCCTCTGTATCAAGGAACAGACTATGACTATATAATGCAGGTATCAAACTGCTCTTTTAAACAATAATCACACATGAAAAAGGCAGCAATGTTTTCAAATTCAGGCACCAGGGACATAAAAAGTGCACTGCAGCCTGCACCTATTTTGCTTCCGGCATGGAGCTCTTACCAGAATTTTAATTGATTTGCACCATTAGGGGGCTGCTCATTTTGTTCATCCAAAGCATATCAACAGGACAGCTTGTGCATTTAGATGACAGTTAAAAGACTTATCTGGAGGCTTTATTTTTCTTTCCAGGTGCTAAATTTCAATTAATTATGTTGAATATCCAAACATGCAAGGGACAGTCATATTATAAAACTAATCTAATGACTATGAAAAATGCTTTTGGAGAAAGTTTTTTTTTAAAGTTCTTAGCTAAGTTCTGCTTAGTGCCAGACTAAGTGCCAAAACTATTTTTCTTCAAGAGTAATTTGTATATAAGCAGGAAAAAGTCGAATATAATTGAAGAATTTCTTTATTTCAAAAACAGAGTATGAAAAAGCTAAGTATTTACTATATGTGCAAACATAAAACATTAAACATGGGAGAGGAGAGCCCGGAAGCCAAGAATACAAAATGCTAGTTTTGCCTTCTAAACTTGTGTGCTGAAATTGATGGCAAAAAGTCAACTGAATTACGTTTTAGCGCAACACCCAACTTCCCAAGATTTATGATCACTACAAAAATATATCTTCCTATATATGCATTTTATTAGATCCCTTTTCTGAAAATGTTATTATTTTACATATTTTAATATAAGCTAGAACTGTACTGAAGAGATGCATTATAATCAGCATTGCAAATACTGAGAGAGTCCGGAGGGTTATAAATGTCAGCACAGACCACCAGATCTGACTGCGCAAGATCAAGTGCAATTTCCCTAAATTCCTTTGGGAGGCAGCATTGCTTACTGTTAACAGTGGCGAGCAAATGTGGGTCTTACAGCTAAAAATGTTACTGTATTTCTGTTGTTTATAGAATGCTGGCAGACAGAGCACACTTTATACTTGACTGAGAAGAAATTATAATCTACATTAAAGTAAACACCATGACATACAGAGCCATCACTAAAATCTAGTATAAAACCAACTCCTTAATTGACTTTACAGCAGTTCTGTTTATGAACTACCTACCTCATTTAGAGCAAGTTCATTTAAAATGAAATAAAAGCAGTAAGAACACATTTCTTGCAGTAATATAAAATATACGAATACCCTATTTGCAGTCTAATTCAAATATGACTATTTTAAAAATACATATTAAGCCTAAAAAGAATTAAAATAATTCACATACGCAGTTCCCTGTAACTAGACAACTAAACCAACTTTTTAGCTAGCAAATTCTCATAATTATTTCAAAACATACAGGGTTGCGTTCACATTTAAGACACTGATGAATTTGGAACGGTTATCATGGCATTTAATGGTCACGTTTGGCTGGAAAGACACTCATGACAAGAGGCTGTCTTTATCTACAGGGATCACTTAACAAAATCATCTGTACTAATTTTTATGTCTATTTTATGGCTGATGATATTCAATGAGATTTCTTTGTCATCATTTTATCATATTGACAGTCTAGTTATACTGAATAAATTGTGCACAACTTTTTGCAAATGAGAGGAAGCATATACACAGCATTTGGGTGTGGTCCTTTGCAATAAAAATACCACCGTAAATCCATTAAAGGGTTTGGAGGACTTGGGGGTGAGATGGGGGGTGTTGTGGTTTGGGGTTTTTTCCCTTTTAATGAGTACAAAGACAGAAGTGGGGAAAATACCACTGACAGGTCAAAGGAATGCTACCCAGGCCTGAAAAACATGAAGCTAGATATTACAGCCACGTAACTCATTTAAGTTGCAGGTTGGAAATGTGATTCAGAAACTAGAAAAGCAAGCAAGACTTCTTAGTCCAAACTACTATCAAAAAAGACATGACATTGTATACAGCGGGAGGAACAGCTGAAAATATTCAAATTCTGCATCTGAAGATACAGAACACGAAGCAAATACTGTGAAACTATGGACTAGGATTTGTATGCATGCTCAAGGTTAATTGTTTTAATTGTACTATTCAGAAAATGCATGGCAACACAAAATCGATGGTATCAAGCCATAAGAGCACAGTACCACATATTCAATGAATGACACTACATAAGGAAATCTCCAACCAGCTGTGGACAGCTGGACCCCTACTGTGCACTGACTGAGCACTGATGCTCACTCACCTTGATGCTTACCATCTAGCAAAATGCCCCAGATGGAGAAACCCATGTCACAGACCTATTCCCGAGTTGTATGGCAAGGTCAGTGAATCCTGAGAACCTCTGGAAAAACTGGAATATGAAAGGCTGAAGAATAATAAACTACAACCTATGGGGAGCAACTGTACTCTGGAGAGTTAGTTGCAGGCTGGGGTTCCTAGAGTAACGCGAAAAAGCCTCATGCACTCCAGGTAGCCAGAGGAAGAGGGAAATTCAGGAAAAAGCAGCGAGCATCATTGTCTTTGGTTAGTTGTAGCTCTTGCTTGTGTCTTTATGCCCCAGGAAATAATCTACTTCAGAGATGAGATTTCTGAAAATTCTGTTTGTGTTCTGCTAAGGCAGTAAATGCTGAAAAGCCACAGTCTTACCCGGCAGGAAAGGGAGGCCAGTAAACATAGGGGACAAAAAGTCTACTTACGGTATCAACTGTAGTGTACCTTCAATATTACTAAAGCTCTCTCCATTGAAAATTGTAAATATTATTTGACTGTCTTGGAAAATGGGATAAAATGCTCATATCTTCAGTGTTCTCTGGACAGACAATCCAAACAAAGAGCTTTTAACAACTCTTGCAGTAATATCCTCGACACCATGCTCCAGGATTTGCTAAAAATTCACTGTAATACATTACCCACTTTCACTAGACTGTAGTGCTTACTCAGAGCTTCCTTGTCTGAACATGTCCCTACAGATACAATAAGAACAAATATTTCAGGTTTTTTTTCTTCAATCTGCCCTTCTTGGTATCAAGGCTGCGTAAAACATTGTTCCTACATCAAACATCATTTCAGAGCTGCAACTGTCATTGCAAATGGTACACGACAACATGGGAGAGTGCAACCTAACAATTCCATAACAATTTACATTTAAAAAGGCAATTCTAAGCTACTGTCAAATGCAGAAGAGATGGCTGAAAAATAGTGCACTTTTATTGTTTCTGAAACCATAAACTGGCAAAACATCTAGTACAGTTTCTGTCCACACTGTTCTTGTGTTCACACTCAGGAAGGTGCACATGCATACACTAAATGTTTTATACTTCTACATAAATGATTTTTTAAAAAAATCTTTGCATAACAAGATCCTGAACTAAATAAAATATTATACAGATTAATTTAAAGTATTTCAATTATACTTTTTTATGATATGACATGATTTCCACTGTAGTATTTAAAAACAAACCTTTTATTAAATTAAAAAAAGGAAGAGTCCCCCAAAATTTTATTATCGCTACATTATTCTGTGAAATAAAATTAATTGCACGTATTGCAGCCTGAACTTAATAGATCTTCCTGAAGTTCAATTGTTAGGATATCAGACCTTTTTCTTCAATAACACCACTAAGACAATCCACTAAAAAGTGGTGTTAAAGAATGATCTAATTTAAAACTTCTACAGCTTGCATTAGTGAAACTACAACACCTTTGGACATAGCCAGAAGGAGAAAGGTTTTGCTCAGTAGGTCAAACCAGGTTTCTTAACGGTTTCCTTTGACATTAGAGCTTCTGCTACACAGTGCAGTATCCAGCAAAGGCACAGACACTTTAGAGATAAGAAAGAAAGGGCTTATAGGAAGGAAAAAAATTGAGAACTGATGAAGACATCCCACATACCAAATATTCAATAGGAATTCCTGAATATAAATGGGAGAGAGCAGTAAAGGAAGTATCATCAGCTACTCAAGAAAACAGATTTTATTAATACTAAAATATTTTTTTCCTTAATTTTCAAAACATATTGCTTTACTGGAATATCAGCAGTTATTTATATCAATAGATTACACCAGCTAGCAAGAGAAAAATTCTGGAAAAGAACATATAAGTAATGAAATACTTCTGTGAGTAAGTTTTGTTATGAATTCTTACACAAAGACAAGTTATTTTGCTAGCTGTCGTTTACTTATGAACGGGCATTAATATATCAAATTGATCTAATGTCTGCTGACAGCCCCAGCCTAACAAATGGCTATCACTTATCTTTATTTTCTGGTAAACACTTTCTTAAAAACGATGCTTGGGTATAGAGGGCAAGGCATAAAATGAAAGATATATTCTTTCTAATTTACTGTATTCAGAAGCAAGATGGCAGTATTGCTGAAGATCAAATGTTTAATTATGTTGTTGTTTTCTCTATCGGAGCATAATCAACATTACTGACCCACTAAATGAAGACTGCACTGCAAACTGCAGAAGTTTATAGAACAGAAAATCTTTTATTGTCTTTAGAATTACGGGCCTTTAATGGGACTACAAGTTTAACCCCACTTTATATCATTTAAAAAATAATTCTAAAGCATAGAATACATTTTCTGAGTGCAGGATTATACATGATATTACAGTGTCTGGAAAGAACTGCTTAATTGGAAGAATTTTTTTCATGGCAATTTTAGGGTAATGAGGCTGTTTTACACATGTTGAAGGAGTTTTGCATTCAAATAAAAGGTATGGGAACTACGGTGAAGGATAAAGAGGAACATTTGAAACTAATTAACAGCAGAACAGAATTGATACGTTCTCTGAAGTGAGTTCTAAGCAGAAAATAGGCCACAAAATGAGAGGTAAAAATACCAAACTGTGCATTACCTTAAGTGATTTTGCCAGTTGTACATGGTTGTCATAGACTAGAATGTCCACTATTAGATTTCGCAGCTGATGGAGAAGAACTTTTTCTCCTTCCAGGTCTTTTGCTTCCACAGGCACTTTCCATGTTGGATAGGGACATTTTGTGCCATCCCATACCTGCAGTGCAAATGAACTATTTCAATAAGCTCAGAATACTTTAGATTGAGATTTTAAATAACTTTTTTTTTTTAAACGAATTTGTTGTTTGATTAAGAATTGATAACAATAAGAAAACTTAATTGGAGTCTCAGTCTTAAAGTCCTTAAATTACTTAAATTAGATTTTATGGGATTTTTTTTTTTTATTATTATTCCTTACAGAGTATAAAATAACCTCTACAGAGAATATGATCAAGTGTTAACACCCGGGATTTGATAATATTTAAAAAAAAAAAAAAAAAATCAGCGCTAGCAAAACCTCAACTGTTTATCCAGCAGTTACAACTATTAGAATTCACTATATGCAGAATTGTCTATATTTAATATTTTAATCCTGCTATAGGGTTTTTTTAACTCCAGCTATAGTATGTGAAGACTGAGTACACAGCATGTACTCCCTTAATTACTGATGATCTCCTCCATCAGTATACACTGCTAGTTATCCAGAACATATTAGAAAAACATCAGTATTTAACATATATTTAATAACGAGGATTCAAAAAATTGTTTGCCTAAAGCTAATGTGCTGGTTTTGGCTGGGATAGAGTTAATTTTGTTTGTAGTAGCTAGTGTGGGGCTATGTTTTGGATTTGTGCTGAAAACAGTGTTGATAATACAGGGATGTCTTTGTTATTGCTGAGCAGTGGTTATACAGAGTCAAGGCCTTCTCAGCTTCTCATGCTCTACCGACTGGGAAGGCTGGAGATGCACAAGAAGCTGGGAGGGGG